TAATTAAACATTAGCTAACATACTGCTAAAGTTTAGCTGTAATTAAACATTAGCTAACATACTGCTAAAGTTTAGCTGTAATTAAACATTAGCTAACATACTGCTAAAGTTTAGCTGTAATTAAACATTAGCTAACAGCTACAGAAGTCAAACTGACTCCCTGTCTCAGGACTTTCTGTGGATGAGGACCTGCTGGACTTCAGCTGGTGGTTCCCTCACAGAACCTGGTCCTCCACAGGAGAGCTCAAAGGTCATAAGGTTTAACCAGCTGATGTGGACCAGGTGAGTCCAGTTCAGGTTCAGGTCCGGGTTCTCCATCTCCTTCACCATAAACCTGTTGTTCTGGTGGGTTCTTCAGGAGACTCCAGAGAAGCAGGTTTGGTTTGGGTGCATAGAGAGGCAGACAGAACCACAACCCGAACCAGAACCAGAACCAGAACTCACTGAGAAACCTTCTCTAATCAGAAACCTTTGAGTGTTCAAGAGCCTGCTGTCTCAGAGAGTTCTGGTTCTGGTTCTGGTTCTGGCTCACCCCCTGGCCCCCTCTAACACAGCACCTGTTTCCAGGTGTTTCTCTGTCACCTGTTGAAGGGTCTCTCCTGGACCTGGATGGTGCTCAGCTCCTGGATGCTGCCCTGCAGACCCACAGACATGTTGGAGTTCTGGACGTGGAACGTTCTCTTATTCCTGCATCCGCAGCAGGAGAACCCACGAGGCGAGGAGGAGGAGGAGGAGGAAGGAGTCAGCTGCTTCATCGTACTCATCTCTCTGCAGCTCGACTCAAAGACCTTCTCATCAACAAACTCGTGGTTCTGAAGGAAAAAGGAGACGTGTCAGAGGCCACAGAACCATCAGGACCAACAGAACCTTGGAACCAAATGTAGAACTAATGTTCCTCACCGTGGTTTTCTCCAGACAGCTCAGCAGGTGATGCTGCTGCAGCTCAAAGTTTGGGTTGATCTTACACACCAGGGCCTGACCTGCTTCTTTACAGGCCTTCAAACACATGAAATGATGAGTCAGCAGAGAACAGTAGAACCATCAGAGAACAGGTAGAACCTGTTGTAGAACAGGTAGAACCCATTATAGAACAGAGAGAACCCATTATAGAACAGAGAGAACCCATTAAAGAACAGAGAGAACCCATTAATGAACAGGTAGAACCCATTATAGAACAAGTAGAACCCTCATAGAACAGGTAGAACCCATCATAGAACAGAGAGAACCCATTAAAGAACAGGTAGAACCCATTAAAGAACAGGTAGAACCCATTATAGAACAGGTAGAACCCATTATAGAACAGGTAGAACCCATCATAGAACAGGTAGAACCCATTAAAGAACAGGTAGAACCCATTAAAGAACAGGTAGAACCCATTATAGAACAGGTAGAACCCATCATAGAACAGGTAGAACCCATCATAGAACATGTAGAACCCATCATAGAACATGTAGAACCCATCATAGAACAGGTAGAACCCATTGAACAGGTAGAACCCATCATAGAACAGGTAGAACCCATTAAAGAACAGGTAGAACCCATTAAAGAACAGGTAGAACCCATTAAAGAACAGGTAGAACCCATCATAGAACATGTAGAACCCATCATAGAACATGTAGAACCCATCATAGAACAGGTAGAACCCATTGAACAGGTAGAACC